TGTGGGGAGAGCGCGGGTGGCAGCTACCGGGTGTGTGCGGGGGAACGATCCGTTAATTTGGCAACCGGCTGCTTCGCTGGCACCATCTTCCCGTTCGGAAAGGTTAGCCGTGGCGCGGTGCACCGGAGCGACGGGAACCGCAAGGGATGCTAACGATAATAATGAAGAGCAATACTAATAATTAATTAGTGGCGGCTTGGAAAGAAAAGGACGGAGGAGGCACGACCCCGCACGGCCCCGGGGCGCGGCGGCGGCGGCGGTTCAGCACCACGGAGAGCGGCGGGGCCGGTTCCCCGGTGCCCGGTTCCCCGGTGCCCGGTGCCGCCGGTGGGAGAATCCTCCGCCCGCTCCCCGCTGTGCAGCGGTCACCGCTTGCAGATGGGGCTACCTGTCAAAGCGTTCTCCCGCCCCGGGGGTCCCCGGTGTCGGGGTAGAAAGCTCCGTTCCTCCCGGGAAGCTGCCGGTGCTTGAGGGTTGGCATCTCCGCAAGTGCCGCCGTGCATCGCTCTCAGCCCCTTCAAACGCAGATATTCAGATATGTATCATATATATATATATATAGGTGTATGTATATAGAAGGGCGGGTGTGGACAGCGGGGACCGGGACGGATCCGTGCCTTCTCCCCGAAACCCGGAGCTCTGAGAGCGGGAGCCGGGCCCCGCCGCCAGCCCCGACCCGCTGCTCCCGGTCCTCGTTGGAAGCGGAGCCCGGCCGGGGCTGCCCAGAGCCGGGGCACCGGCACGGTGCTGTGCCCGGTGCCGGGACCGGTGCTATGCCCGGTGCCGGTGCTATGCCCGGTGCCCGCGTTATGCCCGGCCCGCCTGTTGGTTTCGTTTTTCTGCCGCTTTACCGGAGCGAGGTACGACGAGGCGGCCCCGGGAGGGCTACGGAACCCGCCGAACCGGGGCAAAGCTGGGGGGGGGAGGAGGAGCGGGGGTGTGAAGGAGGCTGGGGAGAACCGGGGTGTCCTGCGTGGGTGTGGGTATCCACGACTGCGTGTGCGGGGCCGTGCGTGCATCAGGACGAGTGTGACCGTCAACGTGTGTGCATCGGTGTGAGCGTTCCTGGGTGTGCACCGGGGAGGGGGGGCTGCTCCCGGGGGTGTGCACCTGTGCCCGGGCCCCCCCCGGGGTGGATGCGTGTACACGGCTGTGCCCGCCGGTTCGCTCCCGGTGTGAGACGGCTGGGGGGGCCAGGGAAAGGCCGCTGCCCCCCCTCCGCCCCCCCGGGATTGCCCCGCCGTTGCCGGGAGAGCGGAGCGGGTCCTCTGCACCGGGGCAGGGCAGGTCGGGACCGGCCCCGGGCGGCCGCACGGGGGGGACGTGGAGCCGGACCTCGGCCCCGGGCTCTGTCCCGCGTCCCTCCGAGCCGCGGCCCCGCTTTGTCCCGGGCCCGGGGGGCGGGTGGGTGTCCCTCCCCGGCCGGGGGGGCAGAGCCGAGGCCGGGCCCGTCGGAGGACCCTATTACCGGGGGTCTGTCGAGCCCGGTTTTACTCCCGAACAGCCGCCAATTTTCCCTCTTGCAAGAAGGGCCCGGGAGAGCAGCCTCGACGGGAGGGTCTTTCCCCCCTTCCTCCCCCCCCCCCCGGCCGCTTCCCCGCCCCGGCCACGTCGGGTTTAACCCCAGCCTTTACCGGGGGGGGTGGTAGTGGTGGTGGGGGGGGGGCCGGCTCCGCCACAGCCCTGCCCGAGCAGGGTTACCCCCGGGGCACCGCCGCCTCCCCGACGAGGCGGGCCGGCTGCTGCGGGAGGCTGGGTCCGGGGAGGAGGGAGGCGAGAGGCGGGGGGGCCCGGGCGAGCAGACGGGCCAGCCCCCGGGGACAGCGGCGACCGTGGCGAATGGCTCTGCCCCCCCCAGGGGGGGGTGTGGGGGGGGGGGGGGGGT